TGGAAAGCTGAGGTCAAAGAATATAGCATTAGTGAAGGTGTAGTGGATAAGCCAGCCAGTCGGAGAAGCTACTTGGGAGACTGAGCAGGAGATGCGGAACAAATATTCACACTTATTTGAGACTGCAGGTATTATTCTAAACCTGTTCGAGGACGAACGTTTGTTTAAGAAGGGGAGAATGTAATGACCCGACCAGTCATTTTGAATATTATAACCATGTTCCCCCATTTACTGCTTAATTTATGTTTTGCAATTGATTTATGACTTATCGGGTTAGTTGGTTCGGGGCCGGAAGGAACTAAGAGTGAAATGAGACACTTTCTCATAATTGAAGATTTAAGTTAGAAAAGTGGACCAGATATGGACTTATGTGTAAACGACCTTGGATTTAAATTTTAATGATTCCAATAGCTCCGTATGGTGATTTTGGGCTTAGGAGCGTGTCCAGNGTTATTTATGACTTGTGTGAAAAATTTGAGGTCAATCGGACGTGATTTGATAGGTTACTGAGTTGTTTGTAGAAATTAGAAATTTCAAAGTTCATTAAGCTTAAATTGGGGTGTAATTCATGGTTTTAGCGTTGTTTTAGGTGATTTGAGGGTTCGACTAAGTTTGTATGATGTTTTAGAACTTGTTGGTATATTTGGTTGAGGTCCCGAGGGGCTCGGTTGAGTTGGCCGTGCGGATCCTTATATTATACCATAGCACGTGAGTTGGCTGTGCGGATCCTTGTATTATACTATAGCACGTGAGTTGGCCGTACAACACGTGAGTTGGCCGTGCGGATCCAGATATTTATATTATGGCACGTGAGTTGTCCATGAAGATTATAGCGCTTGGGCTGTAGGAGCCCCTCCGGAGTCTAGACACCCCCAGTGAGCGCAGGTACCCATTGAGAGTGAGTGATGAGGGCTGGGAGCCTAGTGAGTGATTGTTGTCCTAAGATGTTGTACTTGATTTTTGTTTGTTGTTGCACTTAGTTGCTATCTGTCATTGTTGTGAAATCTCTGAAAGATTGTTGATATACGGATTACATGAACATGAACTGTATAAAAATTAATTTGACATTAAACTATCAAATTTGACAGCGCCTATTCTTTGCTGGAATTACTGAAAATGAACCATAACTGTGTAGCTCGTTACTATCTTCAGTTCCTTATTTATTATTGTTACTTGCTGAGTTGGTTGTACTCGTACTACATCCTGCATTTCGTGTGCAGATCCATGTGTTCCCGGACATAGATGGTGTTGATCCTTTCGCGCGGTTGATTTTCAGGAGATTTTGAGGTAGCTGCCGTGTTCCGCAGACCTTGTCTGTCCTTCTCTATCTCGTTGTTTACTGTATTTGGTCTCAGACTATTATGGACTATATTTTCGAGACTTGTATTCATATTAGATGCTCATGTACTCAGTGACACCGGGTTTTGGGGAGTGTTTGTATTGTATTTAAATATTATATTTTCAATTTTAAAGAGATATTTTGGTTTATTGAGATTATCGGCTTGCATAGTATCGAGATAGGCGCCATCACGACAGGTTGGGATTTTGGGTCGTGACAGTTTTCCTTTGTCTTCTCTAGTTCGATAGTATTAGTGCTAGTATGGTATCCTTTTTCCTTAGTTTGCTATATTCACATGTCTTGTTCCGTTACTACTTGCCATCGATAATTTCATAGTTTGCTAGCAGTACTTCGTTCATATTCTTGTGTGCTGCCTTGGATTTATTTCTCTAATTATACTGTCTTGCTATTATTTGTTATCGGTACCACTTTCATATTCTCTGTTGCTATCTTCGATTTAGTTTTCTAATTATTTGTCTTGCTATTACTTGATATCAGGGCTTCCTTCACCGTCTTTAGCTGAGGGTCTATCAGAAATAGCCTCCCTGCCCCCCTAGGGTAGGGGTAAGGTTGCGTACATCCTATCCTCCCAAGACCCCACTTGTGGAATTATACTGGGTGGTTGTTGTTGTTATTTCTCAGGTGCTACTTAAAATAAAAATAATTAGACTCTAACTTAACAATGTTATGACGCTGTATTATAAGGATATTAAGCCCACATTTGGCCATAAATTTTGTCAAATTTTTTCCAATTTTTTTTGGCAAAACATGTTTGTTTATAGATATTTATCCATATTTTGGCAAATTTTGAAAACAAATTTTCAAACTCCAAAACTAGCTCTAGACTTGTTTTTGGCCCAAAATATCAGAATTTGATTTTTTTTAACAATTTCAAAAATTATCCCAAACTTTTGAATTTTATAAAAAAACTACCATCTAGTATGACCCAACCAACCACCAACTAATTACTATTATTTTTTTGGACCGATGGATCTTGTAATATTATTATAATTTAACGAATTATAATGGCTATTAATTGTGTTATTAGCAGTTGATATTAAAATATCAGGTTATAATTTTAGGATAGTGTATTATGTAATTTATTATAAAAATTATAATTTTGTGCCGAACTTATCTACGTCCAGGACCAGGGTTTGTGATAATGATAATGAATGACATCGATGAAGGTTCTGCATATACAACATTAGCAAGTTTGTTTGTTTGGTATTGTTGGGTATTTTGATAGTTTTTAGAACTTATGGGTACAAGTCACATTTCATGTTTTTTTTAAAAATAAAATAAAATATGTTTTGGAAAATTATGCTCAAATATTTTTTATCTTCAAACCAAACTTCAGATTTTTTAAAACAAATTTGGGAATCTATGGCCAAAGGCAAGCTAAGATACCATTTTACCTTTTTATTTTGGTCCAAAATAAGTGTCTTTTTACATAATCAAGAAGGAATTAATTTGCCTTTATTTACACATTCTAATGTGTTAAAGTAATAATTAATTAAAATTAATTTAGTAAATACATCTTTTTTTCTTTAAAAATTTATATTTCTTTAATAAGTATGTCAAAATAAAATAATCAATTATTGTGGAAGGGAAGGAGCGACAAAAATCCATCATCATATCTGTTTAGACGACAATAACTTCTTAACTTTTGAGTTAAAACTTAATAAAATATCACATTTTTTCGAAAAGATTTCATGGGAAAACGCATCACATGTTCTTTTTCGGCAATCCAAATTATGCATGACGAATGGACGATCGCGATTGTTGATGAAAATTGTCCCAAAATCAAATACAGTACTCCTATTTTAAGACACACTTCAAATAGTGATAGAATTGAGTCTATAATTTTCTCACTTACCGTTATGGTAAGATTTAGCTATCAGAGGTGCACGTTAAAAGTTCAACAAAGTCGTCACAGATACCGACAACTCGAGCAGAAAAAAAGGAAAAAAGAAGAAATAAAAGAAAAAGTAGATAAAGAAAAATGGAAGTAAAGCTTTCAGTACTAGTACNAATGGTGAAAGACACCGCTAAATATGAAATTTATTCTTTGAAATTTTTTCTAGTTGGGTTTTTGCATCCTCATTCGATGGCTGATACATGTTTTTGCTCATAGTCTTGTTTCTTGTTATTTTAGTCTACTGCTTTTTTCGATCTAGACCGTTGGTTTTGTTCAATTTCATCAGATCCGAACGGTGTTCATTTCATTGGCCGTCAGGGATGTTGGACTTGGCAAAGCTACTGTTCTTTCCCCGTTGGGCTAGTGAGTTCTTCTACTTCCTTAGGTCTTAATCGTCTTTTAGTTTTTTCTTTTCCTTCTGATTTTTGCCAGTTGCTACTGCAGTAGTGTTCCATATAAATTGTGCAATGAGAACTGTTTACTGATGTCTTTTCATCGAATTTGCTGGTTTGATGCTAGTTTAGTTGATTAATTTAGGGTTAATTACTGAAATTTAAATCTCTGTCTGCAAATTTGGGAAGTATTAAAATTGCTGCTCGAAGCTTGGGGAAAAAATGATATCCTGCTTTATTTTTTTTTGTTGCTGAAACTAGTTATTGCCTTATTGACATCTAATATTTCTTATTTGAGTCTTGAGCTGGCAATGAAGAGTAGCATTCTATTTCTAGAAGAGTTTGAGTTATATAGATCATATCAGGTCACCCAAAATATTAACTGATAAGCCTCCTTAAAATGTGGGATTTGTAATCGTGAAAAATGAGAAATTAAATGCTAAAAAAGAAAAATCTCAATTGATTTGTGTGTGTGTGTGTGTTTCATGTGCAAAAAGAAATTACCCGTACATATAAATCTGCGTGCGGTTCCTTTTTATCCCTATTGTATTTAGTTTGAGTGACAATCAATTCTAGACGGATTTGAAGGAAAAGCAGTAGCAGGTCATAGTTTGATCTGCTTGTACTTAGTAGCTGTATGATGTAAATTGGATAACATATACAAAGTGAATACATTGATAGCATTTCTCAACTCCTCACAGGCATAGGTTCAATAACTGGACAGTATATAATTTTTTGTGCGCTCCAGAATCATCTTAGTGTTAATTTTCAACGTTAATGAACTACTTAATTGTAGAAGGAAAAAAGTCACGCGAAATTAGTTACTTCTCAATTTCAAAACAGTGCTTCCTCTTAGAATTTTTTTCTTTTGAGAAAGGTAACAATTTCCTCTTAGAATTGAAGGTTTGTTAAATAGTGTGCTTCTTTTGAGAAAACTAGGACATTGTCACATTTTCCTTCCTGATTGTGAACAAACAGAAGTACTTAGGCATATGTATTTGTAGACTTATCTGGAACCTCAAATGGATTGTGCTAGATATTACCCTTCATTTAGGCTTCCTAGCAGTAATTTTCTTCAATCAATACTCGTGCATCACAGACACACTTAGTTGGGCAGCTCCATCTGTCACATTTGCCATAATCTCTTTCTTTTTTTGTTGAGTATATTTGTGGCGGCCGTTATTTTTCTTGCTTTTAGATGCAAACTCTTAAAGTGAGAATGGAGTAATGTATTGTGACCAACTTGACAATTTGTATCCCTGATCGATGTTACTTTGTTGTATTAATGCTATTTTTGTTGCAATATGTGCTTGGCTGCTCGTTATTCAGTTTCTAATTTATTGTTAATATGAATTTCAGAGGTATCAGAGAGGGGGCAATCTTTGACGCTGAAGCATTTAACCATCTTATTTTATCTCATGTGCGTAACAAATGCCGAGTTGCCTGATAAGCCATTTGAACAACAGCCCATCTCTCCGGTCAACAAACCTGTTGAAGCAACTGGCTTACCTGATCTGCCCCTGCTGGCGAGTGTACCTGCATTTCATAGGCAACTTAGCAAACATTTTCCTTCTGGTGCACCACGGCTTTGGCTAGCTCCAGCCCAGCCTCCTGATTATGGTCCTTTAGTAACTGCTGCACACCCTCCTTCCAGTTCGCGCTTGTCCAAGCCATCAATGAAGAAAAGTGGATTGGTGCCTCCTAGTGCTGGCCTTGCACCTCCCCGTTCGGCAGAGATTGCTCCAACCCAATCCAGTCCTAGTACTCTACCCGCTGGTTTGGCTCAGCCACCACTTTCTCCTCACACTTCCAGTAAGAATCTTTCTGTTTAATGAATTAAAACTGAAGACCTGCTGGCCTAGCGTATATATGTCCTATTTCTTCCATTCCCACAAAAAAAGACAAAATAGGGAGAAACCGGTTGTACTATAGCAGAAAATGAGAGTCATAATTTTGGGGTTATGCATTATATTTATTGGGAAACAAGGTTTCATAAGCAAAAACTATATAAAAAGTATCATAAACCATTTGTTTTAAAAATTAAGAGCCTGGTTGGATTTGGCTTTGGAATTGGTTTTGGATGTATAGGTTTTAGGTTTGGTTTCTGGAAACAACTGTCAGCGATTGGATTTAGGTTCTGGAAGAATTGGTTTTGAAAAGTGATTGTGTTTGAATCTCTCAAGAGGGAATTTTACACTTCGTATGGTTAGAAATTACTAATACAAATCGACTACATATCATAAATTGCTGCAAACTTACTTCCCAGTAGCCGAAAAATCATAGAACATTACTTTCTCTCTTTATATGGATCCAACAGAGGGAACACCAAAAAAGTGAGGGGGAGGGGGATACGGGCCATAAATCTGAAAAGAGTTCCATACCGAAATGCAAGGATCTAAATGAAAAGTTTAATGTTGAGAAAACAGAACTCACTGTTGGTTTTGTTTGCAAAAGTTGATTTCCAGAATCGACGCTGATTTCCAAATTTGTTTTATACCCTAAGAACTCTAGTATTTGGTTTCCAAAATCAGTCCTATCGGTTTTGAAACCAAACACCGGTTAAAAATACCAAAAATTATGTTAAATGGTCAAAAGAAACAAGCTGATTCCCCAAGTTACATAAATAAGGATAAAGGGAGAGTGATATTTCAAATATATTCCCATTGGTACGGCTTATAGGACACGTTTAAACACTGACTCATTAACGAACTATCCTTTGGTGTGGATAAGTGCAAAACATATGTAAGAATCACATCCTATCTCTTTATACGTATCAGTGAAGGTATTCATTCTTTGCCATCCCCCCTTGGAAGATATATCTCAATATTTATGCGCATCTTTTTTCTTTCCCATTTTGGCAGACTGTTGTGAACCAGATATGGTGCTCAAACGAGGAAGCCAGGACTGCCAGTGTGTTTACCCATTAAAGATCGACCTTCTCCTCTTGAATGTCTCATCAAATCCAAATTGGAAACTGTTTCTGAATGAATTTGCTTCACAATTAAGTTTGAAGGTTTCTCAAATTGAGCTAATTAACTTTTACTTGGTGGATCTATCAAAGCTAAATATATCCATGGATATCACACCAGATAAGGGAATTAGCGTATCATCTGCTGAAGCCTTTGCAATAAACTCTTCGTTATCAATGCATAAGATCCATCTAGATCNTAGACCCCTCAAAGAAACTGGTAAGTGACTGTATGTTTCATGGACTAATCAAATTATCCTGGATTTGGATCGTCTTCTTTTTAAAGTTCCACCCATGTAGGAACAGAAATTTGGATTGGTGAACAGAAGAAACAACAAGAATGGAAAAGGCTCTCTCTTTTTAACTTGAACTAGTGTTACTTGAGTAGTAGAAGCTTGATCCATAACTCTAACAAACTACTTACTTCTGGTCAAATAAGACAAAAAGCAAAAAGTCTGCAGAAGCTTTAGTTGATCTTTTGTTCGGAAGTAATGTTAAAATGAAGTTTTCTCCCTATCTGCGAAACTTTGGTTTGCATCTGACATCTTGAGCTCTCATAATTTCCTGTATGAGCTACTTAAAATGGTTATTATACTTAAAAACTGGTGGTTTAAACCCCCAATGCTATACTTGAGCTACCAGTTCCCTTTGAACCAAAATTATTCTAGAATTCCGTGAAGCTATTTTTCTGCTAACTAGAAATATTTTTATCGGTTCTTTAAATGCACGATGTTGAAACTATAAATGGAGATGTTTTTGTTTGTACTTGCTGCACCACCTAAGTCTCTTACTTTATAAAAATTCACTTGTATTTTGATTTCTTGATAGCAAAACCGATATGTACGGACGCTGTTCCAGCTGAGGGATCATTTCCCCATCCAACTAGTACACGGTTCCTTCCATATGAAGAACTGAAAGAAGCTACAAATAACTTTGCACCATCTAGTATACTTGGAGAGGGCGGCTTTGGCAGAGTTTTCAAGGGTGTGCTGAGTGATGGTACTGCTGTTGCAATAAAAAGACTTACTAGTGGAGGCCAACAAGGAGGTAAAGAGTTTCTAGTTGAGGTTGAGATGCTTAGTAGGCTGCATCACCGTAATCTGGTGAAACTTATTGGTTACTATAGCAGTCGTGAGTCCTCACAGAACCTACTGTGTTATGAGCTTGTTCCAAATGGGAGTTTGGAGGCTTGGCTTCATGGTAAGTTTTTTTGTGACTTTATCCTTTGTCAACTTCGCAACTAAATAGCTACAATATCTGCTTTGCTATTTTAGTTTGTAATTTGCTTATCTGGTAAGAAGTCACGTAAAGGAAGGGTAACTCCAACTATCAACATATTCAGCTTTCCTTGTATGGCCTGTCTATTGGAGATGAATATGAACTCTCACATATGTTTTGAAAGTCATTACAATGGTTCTGAGCTATTCTACCATTACCCTAAAACTTGGAGTGGATATTTAGATTCTATAGCAGGTGTTGAGTATGTAGAGATCCTTCAAGTCTCATTGCTATTCTCGTGAAAAAATGAATTTGCGTGTCTTGGGCCCAGGAAAAGAAATCAAGCCTGCTCCTGAGGAGGTGTTATTTAGAAGTTTAAGTGAACTGTTAAAAGTGTCCTCTTTCTAACAGTTGAAGTTTCTAGACAAGGTGGTCGCACAAATCAGCGTTGTGACCTATTCAACTTATCAAGGAGTTTAACAATTGCACTCTCTTGCTGCAGGCCCTTTAGGATTAAACTGCCCACTGGATTGGGACACAAGAATGAAAGTTGCACTTGATGCAGCGAGAGGACTTGCATACTTGCACGAAGATTCCCAACCGTGTGTTATCCATAGAGATTTTAAGGCATCAAATATATTGCTTGAGAACAACTTTAATGCTAAAGTTGCTGATTTTGGCCTTGCAAAACAGGCCCCGGAAGGCCAGGCGAATTACCTCTCGACTCGTGTTATGGGCACATTTGGGTTAGTGTTTCTTCGTTAACACATGCTTCTCTAAGATATAACATTGACTAATTTTGAAGCACTGTGTTGTGCAGGTATGTCGCCCCTGAATATGCCATGACTGGGCACCTACTGGTAAAAAGTGATGTGTACAGCTATGGGGTTGTACTCCTTGAATTGTTAACAGGAAAGAAGCCTGTAGATATGTCACAACTATCTGGACATGAAAATCTTGTTACTTGGGTAAGTGTTACGTTGTTGGTACTTTCTTATACTATTTCATCGTTTACTTCAGATCATACAAGTGTAGTTGTGCACTTTTTTTTATTTTTATTGGTAATAGATAGTTGTTGCGCACTTACTGATCTTCAGAATTCATGTCTCCAATTTTTTCCCTTTTGGTACTTCACAAAATTAGAAGCTTATTGTGTTGTCATTGGACTCTCTTTGAAAAGGCTGTAAAAAGAAAGGGCTGTATTTTGTTTTCAGGCCAGACCAATACTTAGAGACAAGGATCGTTTGGAAGAACTTGCTGATCTAAGGCTTGAGGGTAAGTATCCAAAGGAGGATTTTGTGCGGGTTTGCACAATTGCAGCGGCTTGTGTTGCTCCGGAAGCTAGCCAACGGCCTACGATGGGAGAAGTGGTTCAGTCTCTCAAAATGGTTCAGCGGGTAACTGAGTACCAGGATACTAATATAAATTCAGGCACTCGACCTAACATAAGGCAGTCATGTACAACATTTGAATCAGATGGTACCTCGTCTATGTTTTCTTCTGGTCCTTACTCTGGTTTGAGTGTGTTCGAGAATGACGTATCTCGGGCAACTGTATTCTCAGAAGATCTTCATGAAGGAAGATGAACATTATTGGGAAGGCCTTCCAATGCTTCAAACACTCCGATCTTCGATCGTAATGCAGCAGAACGGGAGAATTTGAAGTGGGTTGGCAGAAGTGAGACTCTGCACAGTGGATCTGGCAATGCTTTGGAAAATCTATTGGTTTGCTTCATCCCCTGTAGAGAGCCCATTGTTCAATTTTTACTGTATGGCCATTCTCTACTTGTTGGATGAGAGCCTGTATATATGTATCGGTTGATATTTGATGGCAGTGGTTCATTTGAAGTGGGATGAAAGTTGAATTTCTTTTTTCTTAAGTTTCTTTATCTGTGTGAGATGCCCCTTGTGTAAATTCCTCTTTATCCTCAAATTTTATAACTTCTAAGGACTCTTATCACTTATGATGGATTCTCCTTAAAATATCCTGGATTACAAAGCAAAACTTAACTGGATAAAGAATTGTTTAGGGTGTCAGTGAGAAGTAGAAAGAGTATTTTGAGATTGTAAAAATAGTGGTACAGTACCTTGAGTTTGTAAAACTATGAGCACTTCTTATTTCATGGAATAATATGTTTTTTGAAGTGCTACCAAAGTGTCTTTAAAGTATTTTCAGTTGATGCAACTTTTGCTACTACAGGAGCTTTGAAGCTGTTTTAGCTTTAATATTAGGAGATAGGATCACCTAGTATTAGGCCGTTTCAGTAGACGATTCTATTAACTGATGAAAGTTTAATACTTTCCTTAGATGATATTACTATTTAAGTAATGATGTGATAACCTACATTATTATTATTATACAGATTAAAGAGGAAGTCCCAAAAACTCCGAAAGATCCTGATAATAAACAAATTATGTTAAACAACTCCATTCAATCTGAAAAAATTTACTGTAATATTTTAGTACTTAATTCCTAGGGAATTCATTACTATATGTCATCAAAGCCACCTTGGGATAGAAGTCAAAGTCTTTTTTTTTTTTTTTTTTTTTAATT